TGTAATAGTAGTAGGGAGTAGCTTCGGCATCACGCTTGTAGTAGTAGTAGGGAGTGGCTTCGGCATCACGTTTCTCTTCTTGGGCTTCTCGCTTGTAGTAGTAGTATGGTTCGGCATCACGTTCCTCTTCTTAGGCTTCTCGCTTGTAGTAGTAGTATGGTTCGGCATCACGCTACCACTCATCTTGGGGGTTACGCTTCTCTTCTTGGCGTTTGTAGTAATAATATGGTTCGGCATCACGCTTCTCCTCTTGGATGAAGGAGCCTTGGGCGTCACGCTTCTCTTCTTGGCGTTTGTAGTAATAATATGGTTCGGCGTCACGCTTCTCCTCTTGGGCGTTACGTTTTTCTTCTTGGCGTTTATAGTAATAGTATGGCTGGGCATCACGCTTCTCTTCTTGGGCGTTGCGTTTGTAGTAGTAGTAGGGAGATGCTTCGGCATCACGTTTGTAGTAGTAGTAAGGTTCTATATAATTATAAAGTTATCAATCTGTAAAAAACAATCAAATGCATTCTCAAGATTTTTATTCTCTTACCAGCAACAGCTGAAGCAACGAACAAGGTGACTGCAAGGCAGATTGCGGAGAACTTCATTTTGTAAGAATTTTTATTTTATTTTTTTTTGTCTTACCGGACTTTTTCAGTGAAGTGAGGAATCCTGGGGGGTGAAACATCGGTGGTTTATATAGCTTTTTTTTACGCCGTAGGTTCCTAAATATAAACAATAATTTGTTCAGAAGCCTTGATGCTATAATAACGCCGCGTTTTCCTACTAAGTTTACGCAAATATTGATTTTACAAAGCCTCCAGGCTAAATAATCATGTGATCTCAGTATTAATTTGCGTGTCATAAGGTTTTATATAGCCACAAGATTTTTTTCTTTATACAGCCACAAGATTTGGTTTTTTCATATGGGTAATTATTTTCGAAGCCGGACCGGAAATTTTCTGGTACTACATTATGTGTGTATTGTTTAAAAGTAGGGTCCGAAAAAAATCATATCTAGCATTTTTGTCGTCTTCAAAAATAATTACCCATATAGCCACAAAAATATTTATTATATTGCCACGAAATTCATTTAATATAACCTTTTCTGAATAGCGTTTTCTTGATTATATTCGACTTGAATTATTGTATTTTTTTTTTCAATCTTTTCAAAACTGTACTGTAATAATGATCATATAAGGTCTTTTAATTTTAATCCTATTTGTAAATGTATTAATTATTTCTAGAGATACTAATTGTATTGTAAACAGAAACACTAGACTTAATAAGCCAATCCAATTATTATTTACTTTGACATCTCATTAATATAGTTATTTGTATAACATTTAATAATATATGGAAAAAAGTATTGTAATTGAAATTTTTTAGTTATATAATTTACTTTTCAAAATTAAAATATAGAAAAATTTGGTCTGAGTTTTTAATAAATCTAATAAATTAGCAAAAAAAAAAAACTTTTTCCTATATACAGTATAACTTCTTTTGTGAAAATTGCCTTTTTAGAAAACTTCTCTTCTTTAAGAAACTTTGACTTGTGAATTATGTCTTTTGGAAAGAAGATATAATCTGGAGAATAATAACTATGCAATGAAGGTTTTAGCAATAGCTTATTTAGAAAGATCTAATATTTACAAAAGTATTGATTAATATCTTAACTATTAAAAAATAAATAAAAAGTTTTTTTTCATATTAAGGTCTTTTTTTTTAATATTAAAAAACACAATTTATATATAATATTCTTTTCTTTTAATAATTATACACTTATTAAAAACAGTATTTTATTTTTTCAAAATTTTTGTTTTCTACTGATAATAACAAGTAAAGGATTCTTTATATTCTCTAACTGGTTATTAACTTTTATTAATTTATTAAATTCAAATTTTTTCTAATTCTTATACAAAAACTGAAATTAATTTACTTTATCAAAAGATTCATAATATATAAAATATCATTTAAATTTTGTATTACTCATTTATATTAAAGCAATATAACAATTTATTGAATTAAAAGAGTATGGAACCAGTATATTATATAGGTTTTAATATTTTTTTAACAATTAACAACTATTAAAACAATATAATAAAACATTAAAATATAAGTTAATTATATAATTTAATAATATTTATCAAAAAAAAAACTCTTTCCTGATTACCCAGATTCGCCTAAAATCCATAGTAATCAGCTAGGAGTCCGTTCAAAGGCCCCACCTGCCATGAAAATACATAACAACAACACTTCCAGAAGCAAGTGGTCACCCTTCTCCACCCAGCAACAGCCCCAGCGCTCAAAAAGCAACAAAAACTCAAGCAAAAAAAGCAGCTGACAGCACCCGAAGCAGGCAGCAGCCAGCCATCCGGCTGAACAGCTACTATAGAGGAAGGGTAGAAGCCTCCTTCGACTGGACAGTAAACACCCACATGGATATTGAAGAGATATAGCAGGCATCAACCCCGCCGACCTTTGGGGACTCTGACGAGGACCCAACATTAACAAATCCAGAGAGCGAGGCAGAGGACGCCTCGCCCATCCAGCACCAACCATCCAAGCTGGCTAGGCACCCCTATGGGCCACCCACAGATTGGCACATCCAGTATAGCCATTCTCACTTCAAAACGGCCATTCAGGCAGAAAGCTTGACTGGCTCCATGAAGGAGAAACTCAATACAGTCAAAAAAACAGTCTCTCAACTTGACTTCTATATAGGCGCCTGTATAGCATAGCAACAGGAGGCAAAATTGATCATCGCTTCATTTGCCAATCAAAAAGATGTTCAAAAAGCATGTAAATTATTAATCCAAAGAAATAACAACCACCACATGGCCATCCTAACCGATCTTGACCTAACAGAGGCAAAGAACAAGTCAATTCGTGTCTGGAACATACCCCTTGACACCAATAAACAGGAAATTAGGCAAAAACTTACCTAATTTGAACAAATCAAAAATCTTAGAATGACTACTACAGGCATATGGCAATGTGCACTAGTCGAATTTGCAAAACAAGAAGACTACAACAAAATCTATACAAGATGAAGCATTACGTTTAAGGGAGAACTCCTGAGAATTTATCCTTTTTTAAAAATATTTGAGGTTAAACAAATACAGAACAAATATACTTTGAGACTCACCAATCCTCCCGGAAACAACAGGATATGACCTACATGACATTATTAGTATTACCAAAGCAGCATCCTGCCATATTCCTCGAAACCAGAATTATACAAAGAAACAGTTCGCTTTCCTCAACTTCACTTCAGTAGAAGCAAAGGAACAAGCCAAGAGCCAAAAGGTATACCTGGGAGAAACACCTCTCTACTGGCATAAAGTAGATAAGAAACTTTGTGCAATTTGTAGCACAGCAGATCACCTGGTGGCAAATTGCACAATTAAAGCAATGTGCAAGGAGAAACAACAAATACTCAAAGAAAAAGCAAAAAGATACAACTCACTCTACTAGAAATTCAAACCAGCAGGTATAGCAACTATTAGGAGAATCACACCTAAACAAACTTTTAATTTAGCAAATCAGGATTGCCTAAGGGCCTGGAAACTAAAAATGGGTTCCTAAAGTATTTAGCATATAAAATTTACGTCCCTTTACGTCCACATCCCTTAGAGAACATAATTCCTAGCTCTTTATTTCAATAGGAACATAATTCTAGAAATGATTTATATAGATGCTTAAAACTATAAAGAACCTTTGTAGGTAGTTTTTTTTATTTCTTAATATAGAAATGAAAATTTTTAAT